GGCTGGAACTAAACTCATATCATCAAATGATGATAATAGTTTAGTTTATTCTTGAATTTCACAAAATTATTAGTAAAAGTGCACTCTTAATACCGTCGTCGCGAGTTTGTTAAAATATTTAACAGTATGACGTTACTGAACTAGCCAAAGTTGTTCCAAATACAATTTAATTGTTAATTGAACCGGAAGCTCTGACTTAGCCTGCCTGGCTTTTGGAAAGCTTGTGAGCCTGGCCAGCCAAAAGCCAAAGTCAAAGGGCGCCGGGTTTCGGCTTTCGACCTGATTCGATCTGGCTTACAGATCCTAGGTTACAGATCCTAGGTTACAGATCCTAGCCTACAGATCCTAGCCATACAGATCCTAGCCTACAGATCCTAGCCTACAGATCCTAGCTTACAGATCCCAGCTTACAGATCCTAGCTTACAGATCCTAGGTTACAGATCCTACGTTACAGATCCTAGCTTACAGATCCTAGCTTACAGATCCTAGCTTACAGATCCTAGGTTAGCAGATCCTAGCTTACAGATCCTACGTTACAGATCCTAGCTTACAGATCCTAGCTTACAGATCCTAGGTTACAGATCCTACGTTACAGATCCTAGCTTACAGATCCTAGCTTACAGATCCTACAGCTTACAGATGAAAAACAACTCTGATACACTCCAACTCCAACAGTTCCATTTTCAGCTCCGATTAAAGCCTATCGCATCCACTTGGTCGCTCAGGGTTCCCATTTCGCGTTCATCGGCCGCGTGATGGACACAATGGATGGGCTGTCTTTGGTGGAAGAGGAGAAACACGAAATCCTTGTCAAACGGGTGCACGGAGCGCTCATCGATGCGAGCAAAGCTTTAGCCAAATCACTGCCTCAATATTTGCCAAAGTTCACTGAGTTGTGACTGAGTCACTGAGTTGTGAATTTAAAAATTTACTTTAAACTTGACTGGATATCGATTTCCCGAAAAAGACTTTGCTTCTAGCCTTATTCATAAAAAAATTATTTAAAAATCAAGTTAAACGCAAGGGATTTGGCGGACTTTTCTTGCAATAGTTCAAATCTTCAGTGCACCAGATTTCAAGTGTTTAAGGTACTACTAGGTTCTAGGGCTCCGTCTCACACAGTACGCCAACCAGTACGCCAGACAGTCTTGATTGGCTGAGAATCTAGCAGGGATTGAACCCCTTGACCTGAATAACAGGGCAGGACAACTGGCTGCGCGAAATGCGATACGACCTAGACCATTCGACGTAGAATTTGATGCTGGACCTGACCTGGGTTCTGTTTTTGCCTAAATGACAATCCGAGAGAGTTATGAGCAAACTAAAGTTTTGTTAGGACTCTGAAAATGTGGTCATTTGGCGGCCTCCATGGGTCTTAGCAGCCTCCATGCGGATCCGATCAGCTGCATCCGTGGCCAAGTGGTACAGCGTGTGCCAGAACGAGAACTCACGAGTTCTCGATCCCCACCTTGGATTATTCTTTTGCTTTTTCAAGAAGACTGGTGCTCTTTGTGCGCGCGCAAAATCGCATCCCATCTGGTATATAGCTTTTCAAATATAAAACTATAAGGCAAGATATAATCAATCCATAAGGTATAATCAATCGCCATCAACTGTCTACAAGAAGTGTTGACTAGGTCGAACCTGTGAGGTCTCGCACTGGAAACGAAAGCTGTGCCACTCGATCACGACCGCACTGAAGCTGGTTTCCAAGGAGGTCGGGAAGACCCAAATGACCGCAAGCAGGCCCCTAAGACCCAAATAACCACATTTTCAGAGTACTAACAAAAACTTTAGACGCTTATAACGCCTGGGTAGATTGTCATTTAGCAAAAACAGAATAACATATTCGGAATCAGCATCAAATTCTGCGTTGAATGGTATAGGAATATAGCATTTCGCTCAGCCACTTGTCCTTCCGTTGTTAGCTAAAGGGTGTTCTTCTCAAAGAATGCGTTTTCTAAAATGTGTCAATCTCTTATGAAAAGTACTGATATCTTGGTTCCATTATATCAAGTTTAGCAATTTTTATGAATTTTTCGCTTTCCTTTGTGGATCCTCAAAGAAACGAGCTAAAATAGAAAGACTGGCTGTCGCATAGCATTTGCTCGGCTCAGCAAGCTCAGCGAGGCTTCCGTTGCTAGCTAAAGTGTGTTCTTCTCAAACAGGATTACGGTTTTGGTGGCTTTCAAAAGTTGACAAGCTTTAGAAAATGCACAGTCGAGAGAAACAGATCTAAACAAGACCAAAAAAATCTTTAACTCTTATAATTTAAAAGATATTCCCTTATGATGAACTTTTCTTTTTGGGATTTACCGGAACCCAGACAAAAATTTGACTCTTACAGTACTTTTCAAAGTACTTTACAGTACTTTACAGTAATTTATAGTACTTTACAGTACTTTTAAAGTACTCTTAAAAGTACTTTTAAAGTACTTAAAATACTTTACAGTACTTTACAGTACTTTTAAAACACTTTTCAAGTTTCCCATTATGCTCATTTTACCGAAAATTTGTCAAATCACATTTACGGTTATTGTTTTTTAAAAATAGCTTTTTTTAACACGTTGACGACATTGTCACCTGATGCTGTCTGACACATATTCGTTCGCCTCAGATTATAGTCACCTGACATCAGGTGACAATGTCCCAGGCGAATTGTCACCTAATGTCAGGTGACATTTTTGTCGAAAAAAAACAACGTTGTCCCATGCGATTGTTTGTGCAAAAACGCCATCGTCGTCAACGTGCTAAAATAGGGAATTTTCAATATATTTTTTTTGTATTGGTGCCTCTTGCAATACTTCCTTCAAAAGAAAAATTCCGCATATTTTCCAAAAAACTTTGTTGTTCTTGTTGTTCTTCTTCTTCTTTCTTCTTCTTCTTCTTCTTTCTTCTTCTTTCTTCTTCTCTCTTCTTCTTCTTCTTTCTTCTTCTTTCTCTCTTCTTTCTTCTTTCTTTCTTCTTCTTTCTTCTTCTTTCTTCTTCTTTCTTCTTCTTTCTCCTTGTTCACAATGTTCACCATTTTCACTCTTTCGGGTTGTGTAATTGTGAAGTTTGCAGTTTGCAGAAGATTGTGGTAAACAAGTAGAATCAAGCTTTTTTCCCCATAGAAAATCAAAAGCTAATAAAAAAAACAAATACTTTTGTGATACTCAATAAAAACTTTCTCTTATTTCTTGAATTCAATTATTTGACTACCTTTTCATCGTTCATTTTCGGATTTTCATCGACAGTTTTCAGTTCTCCTAATTGAAGTCGAGAGCCTACTTGAATCTTGAATCTGTTTAATCTAGAATCTGTCGAGAGTCTACTTGAATCTGTTTAAGCCTGTTTAAGCCTATTCGAGAGCCTACTTGCGAATCTGTTACTCGTGCTTGACTTGGATTTGATTCATACTTTTTATTTTTATTTTCCAAAACCTTTGTTGTTCTTGTTCTTCCTGTTCTTCCTTTGTTCTCTTGTTCTCTCTTGTTCTTCTTGTTCTTCTTGTTCTTCTTGTTCTTTCTTGTTCACAATGTTCACCATTTTCACTCTTTCGGGTTGTGTAATTGTGAGATTTTGTTTTTTCGGAAATTCTTCCTTTTTGTTTATAAATTTGAAATATTTAATGCTTTTTGATTTGTGTAATTGGAAGGGTTGAATTTTTCGCCAAAGCGATCGCTGTTCGAATCGTCCTGTAGCCACAAGTGTTACAAGTTGGTGGCTGGTACTGAAAATTTCAAAATGAGAAATTAAGCGACAATGTTTCTTTTCTTCAATCAGGAATACTATGTAGAATTGCGAAAAAGAAAATTGCTTCGTTTTACGTATCGTTTCGTATCGTTAAGCCTTAAAATCTGGTAAAGTTTCATGATTTCCGTACAGTATTATAGTAAGCAGTCAAAAACGGAATATCTTTAACGGCTCTTTCCCCCGAATTGTGGTCCCTAGAAAGTTTCGTCGTCTTTAGAGAGTTTAGTGGTCTTTTTAAAAAGTTTCGTAGTCTTTAGAAAGTTTCGTGTTTTTAAAAGTCCCTGATCTTTTAAAAGTTCCTTGGTCTTTTAAAAGTTTCGTGGTCTTTACAATTCTTGTTGTTTTCGACGGCTACCTGGCTGTCTCAGCTCAGCAAAGCACAATCATGACAGGGTTCTGCGTCCGTCAGCGCCAACACCTCTGCCTCCGTCAACATCGTCAGAGTCAACGTCTTCAGTCGGACCCTCAGCGTCGCCTTCTTCTTGGCTGTTGATCGTCTCGTTTTCGAGGCTCGTCACGATTTGTGGCGCATCCGTTTTGACCTCTTCATCCGGCTCATTGCAGTCGGAGTTTGTCATCCGGCTCATTGTAGAGTCACCAGTGTCCGACGAAGAATGGTGATTAGAACAGACATCTTTTGCTTATGCAGCCAATGCTATGCTGATTTCAGTGTAAGAAGCAAGCTTTCCGATAGTAGACCAAGAATTGTTAGACCCTTCCCTAAGATTGTTCTTTCAATTCTGATCAAATAAACTGGCGCATGTGGGAGCATTCTTGGAGCAAACTGGAGCATTCTTAATACGTTAAAACAATTTCAAAAGGCTTCAAAAACTAAAAACAAGACTAAAAAACAAGAATTGCAAAAACCACGAAACTTTTAAAAGACCATGATTAAGGAAAAGAGCCTCTTTACCTTCAATTTAGCAGATATTTAGTTTAATAGCTATTCAGTTTAACAGATATTTAGCTGCTCTGACTTCTACTGTAATGGACAAGAACTGAATCTTTACTGTACTTTAAGCTCTTTACATTCCTCTTTCCATTCATCTAACGTCTGTAATGCCAGAGATAGGTATTTAGACTGATTTTGTGGAAATCAGCCTGTTTTAGGTAAAGTAAAGCCTGTTTTCGGTATACTATAGCTGATTTCATTTACCTGTTGAGAAGTAGTGCATGCAACTGGCGGCGGGGGGACAATCGGTTGCGGTGGCTGATAACAAGTGTTACAGATTGGGCATGGAACTCGAGCTGCACAATGCGCTCACATCAATCGATGAGCCGGGGCACTAAAGGTAGAAGACTATAGAGCTATTTAAACTACTATATTGTTACTATATTGTTACTATATTGTTCTAATCGCTTACCGAGTTGTCAGCGCAACTGCAGCCGCGATTTCTCGTCTGAATCCCGTTTCCGCAAGACACCGAACAAGCTGACCACTCTGACCATTGGGTCCACGAGCAACAATGCTTAAACATGGAATATAGCTAGATAAGTAGATAAGCTAGGTAAGTAAAAGTCCAAATCACTGCTTACCTGCGAGTTACACGCCCTTTCCTCTGTGGCCGGACTCCTGACAAGTGCAAACACCACATTGTGTATTGCACGTCCTTGTCCTCACTTGAACTCCACCACCGCATGACTTGCTAGGAAGTCAAGCTACAGCTTTATCTATCTTTTTCAAACCTGCAACTGCTCCATGATCCCCATTGATTCCATTCTGGAGTCGGCTCTCGATAGACTTGGCACTGTCTCGACTCATCGGCGGCTCCTCGACACCCGAACCCGAGCATTGCCGGGTCCTCGTTTGCGAATCAACTAAAGCTTTTAAAGGATAATTAATTGAAAGCTAATCTTGACCTAGTGACTAATTCTCACCTCCATATGGATTCCTTTGACAAGTACTCCATGCTCCCCAACTCATCCATTGACTCTGTGCATCGAGGCATGGCTGGCAAGTGTTTGGCGAGGCACCACCACCGATCACCAAGGCGTTGATATCTAGAAAACGGTAGACAGGGTTTTTTTGGTACAATCAGATAAGATCGGATCGGGTTAGCTCGATCGGTCGGATCTATCGGATCCTATTGAACTAGCTCGATCGGTCGGATCTATCGGATCCCATTGAACTAGCCCAATTGGTCGGATCTATCGGATCCTATCGAACTAGCCCAATTGATCGGATCTATCGGATCCCATTGAACTAGCCCAATTGGTCGGATCTAACGGATCCTGGCTGAACTAGCTCGATCGGTCGGATCTATCGGATCCTATCGGGTTAGCCCCGATTGGTCGGATCTCATCGGATCCCGTGAACCAGCCCAATTGGTCGGATCTATCGGATCTATCGGATCGTATTGAACTAGCTCGATCGGTCGGATCTATCGGATCCTATTGAACTAGCCCAACTGATCGGATCTATCGAATCGAATCTGATCGGCCCTGATCCGATCCGACCCGATAACCATGTCTAGAACACGCTAACTATAAGTACTAAGTAAAATTCGAAATATTTAACTAACATTTTACTTCGTATGCCGGCTTATTATGCGGCCAAATTTTTCTATCACTCTATCAGCATCGAAAATCAAATCTAGCAAATTTTTCTTCAGTTTATCAGTTCTCGCGAGTAAAACCTTTTCTAAAAGGTGGACAATTTGGAAAATTACCGTAACCGCTACCGTAAATAGCCCAATTTAGGTATTATTTGATGCGCAATGGAAGGCTGGACGTAGCCAATGATGGCAAAATTTCGCTGATCGGATCAGACTTGATTACAATACAGGGTGCGTCATAATTATTGCAACAAGAGTTCAAAGACCGTTTTCCAAACAGCTTTCTTATTTTTTTGCCCCTTTTTGTTGTGTTGCGTTCTATCTTCTTTTATTCTTGCCTAATTGCCTCCCGCTCACACAAAGAAGACGGTTCAGGACTGGTGTGTGGCCAACTTTCCCTCAGTGATCACCAAGGATGAATGGCCTCCAAACTCACCGGATCTCAATGTGATGGACTTTTCCATTTGGGAAATCTTAGAGGCTAATGTCCGCTCTCGAAAACACACAAGTTTGGATTCTATTGAAGAAGTCTTTGACCAAAGGATGGAAGGCGACTCCTCAAGATGACATTCGGGCCGCAGTGAGGCATATCCGAACCGATTAAGGGCTGTTATCAAGGCAAAAGGCGGTCATATCGAATGATCTCTTTGTTTCCTTATTTGTTGCTGTTAAATAAAGCTATTTATGTTTAAAAATCTTCTTCCAGTGAAACTTCTTGGTGTGCAATGCCTTGAGTGCAATGCCTTGGGTATCTTGTTGCAATAATTATGACGCACCCGGTAGTTTTTCAAGTTTTTTAGAGACTTTACAAAGCTTTTTAGGGAACCAATCACTGATTGTCAGAAAAACGCACTCAAAACAAGATTTGTCTTGAGAAGCAAAGCAATAAATTGCAAGATTTTCCGGTTAAAAACAACTTTAAAAGTTAAAAGCTAACCCAACTTAACAAAAACCCAAAAAGTTCACAAAAAAGTTAATGCAAAGAAAACTTTAGAACTAAAACTAATACAGAAATATAAAACTAATACAAATTCTGAAAAATCCCAAGTGCAAACCTGAAACGATGAACGAGAGCAAAATAGTAAGCATTGTTATGGATAAATGTCGTGAGATCGTCCGTTTTTCTTTTCCCTGAATGGTTTCCCGATCGGGTCAATCGTATTTGTACCCCACTAAACTCCTCCCAAGATTGAGTGATGCAAAAAGAAAAAAAAAGAAAGAATCGACTAAATATTTGCCATTACCCCGACACGTCTTCTCCCTCTATTTTTGCTCTTTTTCTTCGTCTTTCCAAGTTACTCCATTTTTTTCTTCTCTTGTGGATTTTTCACAAGAGCAATCATTTGAAGGAGACACGTCACAGTCACAGTAAAATAAAGTGACTCATCTCATTGGGTAAACTCATCTGATTGGGTAAATGAATCAGAAATGAAAATCGTTGAGTAAAAATTATGCGCTTTAGGAGTTTAAAGCTTTAAAGTTTACCCCTTCAAAACCTCCTTCTCATTCAAGGTGATGAATGAACAGAGCTACAGAGCTAGCTAAAAGGTACTCTTTATTATACTAGACATTCGATCGGATTGGATTGGATTGATTGGATCGAATTGGATCGGATTGGATTGGATTGACCGGATCGGATCGGATTGGATTGGATCGGATTGATCGGATTGGATTGGATTGGATCGGATTGATTGATTGGATCTGATCGGATTGATTGGATCGGATTGGATCGGATCGGATCGGATCGAATCGATCGGATTGGATCGGATCGGATCGGATCGGATCGATTGATTGGATTAAGACCGATCCGATCCGACCAATCCGATGATCGGGCTTCCATATTAAATGTATTAATCCATATTAAATTCCGTATTAATCCATATTAGCATTTTACATCTACAATTTCTAAAATACAAGCGAAACCTCTGTTTTCTATTTTGAGCTGCTTTCTGTCTGTTTCTTTCTGTCTTTTGAGTCAAGTTTCGTCTGAGTTCGAAGTTGATTATCAAAGTTGATTATCGAAGCTGATTATCGAAGTTGATTATCGAAGTTGATTATCGAAGTTGATTATCGAAGCTGATTATCGAAGTTGATTATCGAAGCTGATTATCGAAGTTGATTATCGAAGTTGATCCTTGGTAGACATGGACAATAGCCACTAAGAACATTAGGTTTTATTGTAAAGTTGTTTTTGTAAAATTTTATTGTTTACTTGCTAGTTTATTGTTGTTTTGTTAACGTGAAATTTCATTTTTGAATTTATAAATAGTTGAATCAATTAAACACTAATCAATTTGAGTTCTGAACCAGAAACTAGAGTTTTGTAGCAGTTCTAAACTGAGGTCACACATTTTCGCTCGGTCCAACCGATCGGACCAACCGATCGGACTAGCCCAATATGATCCGATCACAAGTTTAAAACCTCAAAAATTCCTACTTTTACCGAAAATCACCGTTCTAACACCATATCTTGAGAAAGTCACCGTTTTCGATGCTTTCTAAAAGGCATTACGGCACTGTAGTGTGTACGCGGTGCTCCGCGTGGCACATCAAGTACGAAGAAAGGTAAAATTTTCTTTTTGTAGCAAAGTAAAAATCTACTTAGTAACTTTTTTATAATGATATCCAGATAGCGTAAAAAAACTTGAGTTTTCAAAATCCTTCTACTGGAAAAAAAGTTATTGAGACAAATGTGTTTTTGATGGAAGCTGTGGAGTGATCGTAGACGTCGACTCTAAAAGTGTCAAGAATTATGCAAAACAAATAGAAATAGAAATTAAGCTGATAACAAAACAACAGACACATGGCAAATAAAACTAAATGGGCAAATTTTCCCAAGTGTCAGACGACAGGACATCAATGCAAAGCTAATTCACAGCGCTCTTCAGCCGCATTTCTTCTTTCATCTTAGCTATTTAGTTTGCCAATTTTCTGTGTAGGGATTCACCCTTCTTCGGCAAGAGCTCTAATCATATGACGTAAAAGTCGATGTCGATAACCCCACAGCTTTCATCAAAAAACCGGTTTGTTCTAATAACCTTTTTCCAGTAGAAGTATTTTGAAAACTCAAGTTTTTTTACGCTATCTGGATATCATTATAAAAAAGTTATTAAGTAGATTTAAGAAAGCAGGCACAAAAAAAGAAAATTTTGTACTTGATGTGGATCAGATTGCCCAATAAAAGGCGATTTTCTCCATTTTCCTCACTTTTGCGAGTGATTTTTCTGATTAATTCACGGGCCTTTAAACGCGAATCTCTAATTCACATTAAAATCAAATCAAACCATTTTATTGTCAAGCTTTTAGGTTTCTTTTATATAAATATTATTCATCAAAAATAATTTCATATTTATCGTATAATTTTACAATATAGTCTCCTAATATATCCTCTAATACATCCTCTAATATATTCTCTAATATATTCTCCTTCTAATTGCAACTCTGGAAGCATAAGCCTCTTGAAAATTGTGGAAACTCCTAGAAGTACACGTAGTGATCCTTATCAAATTTCGGTCGGTTCTCATCCCCATCATCTTTCCCTTTATCATTCTTTTGCGAACCGTATTAGTTTACAGGAATAAGCTTTGGAATAAGCTTTGGAATAAGTTTTGGAATAAGCTCCCGTCCGGTATCTTCTCGTCTGTAGGAAAATTGAAAGTATCTTGTAAACGAATTAGATCTTATTGCCATTTCAAATCTGCTCTATCTTTTTAATCTCCTTATACCCGTGTTTCCTAACCGTAGTCTTACTGTACTATTTTTAGTTTTCTTTCTTTTTTGTGAAAGTATTTTAGCAGTATGTTATATAGGTTATGATTATCTGATTCGCTTCCTATTCGCCCCTGAATAAAGCATATATATATATGTTGTGTCCTATTTAGATTTCCGTCCGATTTAGATTGAATCTAAATCGGACGTCCGATTTAGATTGAACTTATCGCGGACGTCCGATTTAGATTACAGTCTATATCGGACGTCCGATTTAGATTCAATCTAAATCTTATATGGATTGAACAATAATATAAAACATGCTTAATATATGTTCTTAAGCGTTTTCTGTAGTTTTCTGCATTTTTCAAAGGTCTTTATTGATTACAGTCTATATCGGACGTCCGATACAGATCGAACAATAATAAACGTGCTAAACATAAGCCTTTTGGAATCTCTTTGAAAGCGCAGAAAATTGCAAAACGCTTAAGAACATATATTAAGCACGTTTATTATTGTTCGATCTGTATGGGACGTCCTATATAGACTGTAATCTAAATCGGACGTCCGCGCAAGTTCAATCCAATCGGACACAACATATATATATATATGTTGTGTCCTATTTAGATTTCCGTCCGATTTAGATTGAACTTATCGTGGACGTCCGATTTAGATTACAGTCTATATCGGACGTCCGATTTAGACTCAATCTAAATCTTATATAGATTGAACAATAATATAAACATATATGTTCTTAAGCGTTTTTTTTGCAATTTTCGGCACTTTTCAAAGAAATTTTATTGTCTTTTTTTGAGAATTTTTTGTTTTCTTGTTTTCCCTATTAAATGCTGCTTTTACAGATGGAGGACCTTTTTGACCAAGAATTTGGCGTGTTTTTACAAAAGAAGAAAAGAGGACAAATTCCAACCGCTGAAGCCTACAATTCTGATGGTTGGAACGCTCCAAAATCATCGTGAAAACTGCGAGAAACCAAAACTACCACAAAACTACCACAAAACTACCACGAAAAACAACTTGCTGAAAAGATTTGCGCTCGTGATTGAACAAAAGGGAGCGCAGCTTATCATGTGGGCGAGAAAATGGCAGCGGAGAGATGCTAGCACAACAACGAGTGATTAAGCGAGAAGCGCTCCTTCAGCCTATACACGGAACACACAAAAAAAAAACTTGGACACGCTGGAATAAACTTGATGTGGCAAAATCTCCGAGGATATTATGGTATTTCAAAGCGGGTTTTTGACTTTATTATTTTATTTGCTGCTTACTGGCTCAAACTACATTTTTAGAGAAATCATCAGTCTCTACGTCAAATTGTGTGAAGAATGCGAATTGAAAAGAGGAAATTTAAAAAAACGGTCGTTGGGGGGCCAATCATAATGCAAAAACAAAACGAGCGTTTTCAAGTGGATCTTATCGAGCTCCAATCAACACCGGATGGTGATTTCAGGTTCATTCTAGTATACCAGGTTTTTTCTAGGTCTAATAAAAACAAGCCGACAAGATGTTACAAGCGTCTAAAGAGAGGTTCTTTATGATCGTTTTTCGGTTTCACCTAATGTACACAATTAGATTTCAGCCTTTGGATATTGGAAAGAACGTAAGAATTCCAATTGATCCGGTTGATCGACCAAAAATTGGCCACCGAAATCTTTGGGCGTTGTCAGTGAAGGTTTGTTTCGATTAAATTCACTTAAACCATTTTTTTAAAGCAATCGATGGGCTTTACACGATTTGGGACGGCGAATTGGACTCTACCACAGAAGTTTTCAAGAAATCAACTCTATCCTTGTGAGACGGACTTCCTTGTTATTGCTGATGTGCCGGAACGTTCAACTTCCTTTCGTGCCGCCATCGGTGATTCTTCTATTCACGGGAAACAAGGTAAGTAACTATAACTTTATTTCATTTTTGCGTGTTCCATTAGGCCATAAACATTGCTTATGTGCTGGGAAATGCTCATCCAATCGATTTTCGTGCAAAAAGGATGGCCGACTCTGCAATTCAAGATGTCACAATAGCCCAAGCTGCAAAAATAAATAGAAATTTTTAACTCGTTCGTTGTTGTTGTTGGTTTTTTTGTTGTTGGATGTTGTAATTTCGCATCTATTCTGTTAACGCTAATAAATTGTTTCATAGTTGGGTTTCTTTTCGGAAAAAGACAGTAGCAGACCCTTGAAAAATGCAGAAAACTACAGAAAACGCTTAAGAACATATATTAAGCATGTTTATATTAGGTGTGTGAAAAAGTAATCCACGTTTTTTATTTTTATCTGATGACCAAATAAGACGCTGTCTTCTCGAAAACCCTCGTTCAACCTCTTCAGAAATAGGCCTTACATTAAATTGTGATGGGTCAACCG